GACAATGGTAATTTAACTGTGTCTGCAGCCTAATACAGTGTTGGCAAAGAGAAAGACAATTGTAATGCATTTCAAACTCTGAGCTTAGCCCCCTGTCTGCTGCTGCCTAATTCCTCCAAGCACAGTAGTGACACTTAGGGATGCGCTGCCACCTGATATCACCGGGATTGCACCTCACTGCCTGTCCCACGCGGGCTCTGCTGCAACTTATCCTCATGCTCATGTTCTTTGGAAAATGAACTGACCCTTATAAATCCCTCCCACTCTGCTCCAACCTTATCCTGGACTCCATTTCTCAGAGTACAGGTCCTTTAGAGGTGGAGAGAAAGCTGCTTTGATGAGAAAATAAAGTTCTTACCTGTTTTTCCCCCCTCAGTGTAGGTTGGAGTGGTTTGTTACTTCTCTGCCTTTCACTGGATGGTTGGGCTTTTATTTAAACTCCGATGTGACGTGGCTGTCCTGACCTCCTAAAGTACTGTATTAGAAATAACGGATTTAGAGTAATGTGAAACTGAAAGCACTGCGTGAAAAGCAGTGACTCAACAACCATGAAAGGAATTTTTGAAAGCTTTGTAAACGGGAGGGTACATGGATTTTACGGGATTTCATAACTAGTTCATGACAGGCCAGCAGAGGACATTTGGCTCAGGCGGACTAACTAGAAAGTCCCAAAGGAGAAAGTGGCCCCAGCATCATTTCATGGAACAATCTGTGGTCACCTATCAGGCTCAACAGGAGGCAGTTGCACTGAGGGCGAGACATCAGACCAAAAAATAATGAAGGCAGCTTACAGCCCACAGCCTCAAGGGCCAGCACAAATCGGGTTGAAGGACAATGGACTCCATGTAATCAGACTAGAACACTTACATCCCCCAGCCTCCGCCCTTGCAGTTTTGCACATAAAATTCAACCCCGAGGGCAGCAGAGACTGTGTGCTAACCTTCCCTGGTTGTGGCTCCATCCCCCCATTCCCTCTGATAAACTTCCCTCCTGCTTGCTTGCTGTGTCAGCCTAATTCCTTGAGTGACTCTAATCTTACAGTTCAGTTTGACAAAAGCTCCATTGCTAGTTCCTGGGGGTGTAGTCCACAAGATGTGGCTCCCTCTTCCCTCTTTCAAGCAGGGTAAGGTATGTCACTGGGAGAGGCAGGCACCAGTATTTCTCATCCCCTCCAACACTGAGTTGCAGAGACTGGAGGCTGGGGCTCCCAACCTGCACCCAGCCCCACTCACAGAGTGAAGGCTCTAGCTGATGCACAGCAGGCTGAGATTGCCTGGCCTGCTCACCCTCCCTCTGGCTGACTTGTAGGAAGAAGTTTCCAAGCTGGGAGAGGCACATGGGGAAGACCAGAGGCTACCACCCCTGCCCGGGAGAGGAGCAATGGCTCAGAGATATTTGTCCTCTGAAGTGCATCTCTGAAGTTCTCCCCCAAACAACTGATTTTATTTGAAACAGTGTGGGGACTTGGAGAAACTATATTGCTAGCAAATTGTCTTTAGAAAAAACACAACAGGAGATTTTCAGGAAGGAAGCAGGTGACCCCAGATGGTAATACAAATCCATATAGAAAAACAAAGAGAACCATTAAGGGAATTGTGTAATTACAAAAGACAGTATAAATGCAGATTCCATCTTCTTTCTTCTCTTAACTGATTTAAGAAACAATTGTATACAACAATCTATCTATCTATCTATCTATCTATCTATCTATCTATCTATTTATCTCTCTATCTATCTATCTATATAGCAGTAATATGCAAATGAGGTTGAGACTCCATAATGGTCACAACCAGTTCAGGAGGAGGGTGCTGGGCACTGAGAGAACAACATGCAGGCACAGCCCAGAGCCTTAGAGATCAACACAGAGGGGCGCCTGCTCTGAGACTCAGATGCAGCTGGGGGCAGGTCCCCAGCGGACACACACACACACACACACACACACACACACACACACGGTGCCTGCTCCGAGCCTATGCAGCTGAGGTCACCTGTCAGGGCTGCAAGGGAAGAGGAAAGCTTAGCCTGCCATGTGTACGAGTGCCCCTTGGTCTGAGGTGCTTTCTCCGGGTCAGTCTCCTGGTTGCTTTTCTGGTCCCTGTCAAGGGAAGGAGCCAGGGGTGGGGTGAAATGAGGCCAGGCCAATCCGGATTTTCCAGTTGTTCCCAGCTGTGTGTTGCATTTCTGGTCCCTGTCAAGGGAAGGAGCCAGGGGTGGGGTGAAATGAGGCCAGGCCAATCCGGATTTTCCAGTTGTTCCCAGCTGTGTGTTGCATTTCTGGTCCCTGTCAAGGGAAGGAGCCAGGGGTGGGGTGAAATGAGGCCAGGCCAATCCAGATTTTCCAATAGTTCCAGGTTTCCAATTGTTTCCGGCTGTGTGTTTGCTCCAGGGGCTGGTGGGCGAAAGTTCTCCGTACAAAGGCAGGAAGGCAGAGGTACTCTGTGGCAAAGGTGAAGGCACAGCAGCCCTGGGACAGCCCGAGGATTTGCAGCACAGAGCACTGGGCAGGGCAGCCACCACAGGGGCTGTCCCAGGCACCTCTCACCCCTCCGAGGGCATCAACTCTGGAGGTCACAGACGGGGAAACAGACCCAGACAGAGTTTAGACCTGCCCAGGTCACATAAAGGCTTCCAATTCAGCACCTTCTCCACTCTTCTTCAAGTTCACAACCATTGACTGAACACTTTCTATCAAGTTCCTAGAAGGTGGTAATCTCTCACCAACTGTGATTTTAAGAGGGTTCCCTTTTAGATGTACACCTTTACACCACTTTCTCAAAGAGGCACTTAAATGCCATACAACTCACCCACTGCTGGTATACTGTTTGATGCGTGAATTTCCACAGCAGCTCAACCACTGACACAAACCGTTTAACAAACTTCCATCACGCTGTTTGCCCATCTGCAGTCAACCTCACTCCAGCCCCAGGCAACCACAGGTCTGTTTTCTGTCTCTGTAATTTTGTCTTTTCTAGAAATCTCCACCTTCTTTTAAAAAGAAAAAGGAAAAAAAGTAAAACAAACAAACAAACAAAAAACAAGAAGAACTCTGCTGTGCTCAGGCCTGGAAAGGGGAAGATGACTGAGGGCAAAAAAGATGACTCCGTGAAGGGCCTAGAGTGCAGGGCCTGGCCCCTCCTGCTTCAACTTCGAGATGAACAAACTCAGGGTCAGAGAGGCCTGGGGTGTGGTTCAGTCTTTTCAACCCATGCCTGCATCCCAGACGCTAATGACAGTGGCAGCAGCAGTGGTACTACTCAGGGCCCAGCCTGGCCACACTGCCACCCCGCCCCCCCCTGCCCAGTGGACACACACACACACACACACACACACACACACACGGGGCACCTGCTCTGAGCCTCCGACGCCCCCAGCGGACACACACACACAGACATACACACACAGACACTGGGCGCCTGCTCCAAGCCTACACGGCATCAGTAGGACATCCCCTGAGGGCTCCCAGACTGTGAGAGGGGGCAGGCTGGGCTGAGGGACCCCCCCTCCACAGTGCATGAATGTTCATGCACCAGGCCTCTATTATAAAATAAAAACTACAAATAAAATATTTATTATTTTAACACCTTACTCCAACATTCTTGCTAGAGTGGCATCAATCAATTTCAACAAAGAACTGCATGGCAAACAAATCCTTTAAAAAAATTACCATCTAGGTGACAAAGATTTGCATAGAAATCCAAGAGGGAAAAATGGGGACAGAGTTTATGAAGACAGTAAAAGGTGAGATTTCAAAGGAGTTAACACAAGTTGTTTTGAAATAGTTTTGATTGGTGCTTTCAAGCAGATTCAAAATATGCTGTACATGATTGATTGCTTATGTCTCTTGCTAGGTGAAAAACTTCTTTTTCACAGAGTTCAGTGATGTAGGCCAGTTCCAAGAACTGTATCAGGATGTGGGAGTTTGGTTTAACCCACTTGAAAAGTTCAGTTTCACATGTAGTGCATGTATTCATCTCAGCTTCCTGAAGGCCTCTGGCTCCTTTGTACATTGCTCTATTGACAATACTAACTCTATTTTGCTGTGTTTCTCTGATAGAGGAAAATTTGCATGTTTGTCAAAAATTAATTGACATGCCTACTGAAGCAGAGGTGGCTAATACAGGGATGTGAATCTAGCACAAACCTAAGCAATAAAAAATGACTTCTAAATTACTTTGTGAAAGTAATTATGTTTCCTCCAAAAAGCAAGTTAGTGGATAGAGGAAAGCAGATACTAGTAGAATAAGAAAGAGGAAAGAATAGAGGCATCAGGGAGAAAGAGAATGATCTTTGGGGGAATGGAAGGCTTGTGTTTCCATTCAGGGTACGATGGGCAAAAAGTCTTAGGAAAAAAAGATGCCCCCTCCACACATCTTCAGAGGCATCTGGTACATTCACCAATGCTTTTTGGATAGGCTGCATTTCGGAGTGGGGTTTATAGGAGCTGTTGTCTTTCACTCTATCTTAGATGAATTATCATATAAAACTGAGAGGTCACCTTCAGCATGACTGCAAAAGTGATGCTGCAAGGGATCAAACAATGACCCAGTATGATCTCAGCTACCCTGGGGAAACCACCCAAATCTCAGATCATAGAAATGTAATGGGCTCACCCTTGATCTGATTTTTCCTTTGGAGCATTTATTAATCAGGCTTCTCCAGAGAAACAGAACCAATAAGATGGAGATGATAGATTAGATAGAGATAGATAGATAGATAGATAGATAGATAGATAGATAGATAGATATAGTGCCCTGGCTGGTGTGGCTCTGGTGGTTGCTGGTTGGATTCTCTGTCAGCGCACATGCCTGAGTTGAAGGCTTGGTCATCAGTGGGGGGTATGCAGAAGGTAGCTGATTGATGTTTCTCTCTCTGTGTGTTTCTCACTCTTCCTTCCTCTTTATGAAATCAGTAATATATATATATATATTCAATTTATGCAATTATGAAGGCTGAAAAGTCCCATGATCAGCCATTTGCAAGATGGAGACCCAGGAAATCTGGTGGTGTACTTAATGTAAGTCCCAAGGCCTGAGAATCAGGGAAGCCTATGTTGTATATCCCAGTCTGAGGGCAGGAGATGAAATGTTGCAGCTCAACAGTGAGAGGTAGAAACACACACACACACACACACACACACACGCACACACACACACAAAAGATATATGAATTCATCCTCCCACTATTCTTTGTTCTTTTAAGTCCTCAGTGGATTGAATGATGCCCACCTACAATGGAGAGGGCAATTACTTTACTGAGTCCACCATTCCAAATGCTAATCTCATCTGGAAACAGCTGCTCAGACACACCCAGAAATAATGTTTAATCTGGGCACTCCATAGTCAGTCAAATTGACACCTAAAACTAACCATCATAAGTTAACCCCTTGTCAATTTGGCACTTATATAGGCATCTTCTTAAACCATACTTGCCCTAATTGGTGTGGCTCAGTTGGTTGAACATCATGAAATCACTCAGACAAAGACAAGTACGGTATGATTGCACTTATCTGAGGAATCTAAATCACAAATAAATGAACCAATAAATTGGAAATATACTCATCGATACAGAGAACAAATTAATGATTGTCTCATGGAAACATCTTACTCCAAAATTCCCTTTCAATATCTAGAGATATTGAGAAGGAATTTGCAAATTGACCGTCATGCTGTCACAAAGATGGCAGTGCCCATAGCCACAAGATGGCTGTGCCCAGTTCCCTCAGCCCCACTGGAGTCCCCCAGTCCTTTCACCACCACTGGGCGGTGGCAGGTTCCCGGTGCTGCTATGCCCGACCTCAGCTCCCCAGCCACCCAGGACTGGTTCGAGGCACAGGCAAGCCTTGGATGTCAGGTGCCCAGCCGCCTACGGCTGTCCCGAGGTGCAGGCAAACCTCGGATGTCATGTCGGCTGTCCAGCCAATGCCCAAGGTGCAGGCAAGCCTTGGATATCATGTTGGCTGCCCAGTCGCCCAGAGTGGGCCCAAGGCATGGGCTAACCTCAGATGACAGCTTCCCAGATGCCCAGGGCCACCCAAGGCTCAGGTAATCAAGGCCAGCCAAGGCTTGTGCTGCCGGCAGTGGCTGCAGCAGAGGTGTGATGGGGGTATCACCTTCTCTTGATCACTGGGTCACCTCCTGCTCCTGAGGGCTCCCAGACTGTGAGAGGGGGCAGGCTGGGCTGAGGGACTCCCCCATCCAAAATGTTATGAAACATTTATTTTCTTACCCACATTTTATAGATGTGAATTAGGAGACACAGGTAGGTTATATAATTTGCTTAAATTTGCACATCTAGCAAGTGCCTAGGGAGAACAGCAACATAGATTAGAGTCTACCTTTCACATAGGACATTCCTATATAATAAAAGCCTAATATGCAAATCGACCTAACAGCAGAAGGACCAGTGTAATGACCAGTTGCTATGGCGTGCACTGACCACCAGGGGGCAGATTCTCAACGCAAGAACTGTCCCCAGACCTCAGGTCCCAGGCCAGCCAAGGCTGGTGCCAGCTGGGGCCACCTCCCAGGCACCCCACAGATCAGCCCTAATTGCCTAGGGACCCTACCTGTGCACAAATTTTGTGCACCAGGCCTCTAGTCCTATATAATAAAAGGCTAATATGCAAATCAACCAAACAGTGGAACAACCAGTCACTATGAAGTGCACTGACCCCCAGAGGGCAGATGCTCAATGCAGAAGCTGACCCCTGGTGGTCAGTGTGCTCCCACAGGGAGGGTGCAGCTCAGCCATAGCTGAGTTCAAGGCTTGTGAGTCCAGCGGTGGTGACGGGAGCCTTTCCCACCTTCGCGACAGAGCTAAGGATGTCTGACTGCCAGATTAGGCCTACTCCCCGCCATCAGTTGAACATCCCCCGAGGGCTCCCAGACTGCGAGAGGGTGTAGGCCATACTGAGGGACCTCCCCCTTTGAGTGCACAAATTTCATGCACTGGGCCTCTAGTAGTCTATAAAATCTTCCCAAAGAAGAGGGGATGTAAAGTTTGAAATATTTGTACATGTTGTCTGGGTTGAATGTTAATCAAAGGGAAGAGCCCCAAGTAAACATGCAAATTCATAACAGAACCAAAGTTGTTATGGGTTTGTGCAACAGCATATAATTCTGACTGGCTGACCTTGAGCATGTGGAATGAAGTAGTTCTGGAAGAGGGAGTGGAGGAAGACATGGAGAGTCTTTGGTCACAGTAAAGTGCTTGGACTCTTTGTAGAGGATCCTGGAGCATTTTAAACAGAAAGTAAAAATGACACATATGGACTTGTTTGCACAGGACAAATCTCCTCAGTGGAACTCTAAGTTCTTTGTCCCTTCTTGTGTCCTCAGGCAACAGAGGTCTTCCAACGCTTCCTGACGTCACAGGTGTCAATAGAGAAATCCATCCTGCAGGCAGATAAAGCCCTGACCCAAGGGGAGAAGGCCATAGCAGGTATGGGGCATGATGCAACTCTCAGTGTGGTGGCATTTCCTGCAGTGCTCTCTGACAGATCACATTAAGATCTTTCCAAAACAACAAATTTTTCCTTCTGTGGAATTTACATTCTGCCAAATCTGAACATAACAAGCAGAGTGTGGTTTTATATCAACCAGACAGTCAAGGTCTTTTCCATTACATTATCAAACCTGCTCTTGATGGTGTAGCCATTGGGTGAAATTGGAGATTCCTCATCTCTTTCAAATTTGATTTGTTCTCTTAAAATGTTAGAGTTCAGGCCTGATCTTGTACTTTCTTCTTTTTCTAAAATTGTCATGGGGCAGAGGAGCGGGCTAAGAAGGAGCAAGCTGAGAAGGAACAGGAGTGGCTAAGACAGAAGCACAAGGAGCAGCAGCAGCAGATTGAGGTGCAAAATAGGAGTCTGGAGGAAAACATAGTCCAACTGAGAAAGAAGCTGGAGAAGGACAGAGACAAGGCTCTGAGAGAACAGACAAGGATACTGGAACACAAGCTGAAGGTAAGTCTGGCCATGGCCTCAATAGTTGCTCATGGTCATCACCCTGGTAAATGAGAAAGGAATAGGTGAAAATTAGTGCAAAATTAAAAAGAAAACAACTACTGCTATTTACTGCATTTGATTCACCAAAAGTACCGAATCCTGGATTTCCAAGAAGCCTTTGAATTTTGCTCCACACCGAGACTCTGGAGAGTCCAAGATGACCTTCGGTCCTCTAAGTCCTTGAAGAATATAAATAGCCTACCCAAAGTTCAAGTTTCTACATTAGTGGTATTCTAGGGTGATCTCATGAAGCCCTAATTAAACAAGGTTTTTAATAGATTATCAAGTAGATATTCTAACCAGGTGTTTTTAATATAAGCAGCAACTGGGTACTTCACCAAGATTACTGTCAATTATCCAGAACTCTCCTACCATCAAAGACCCTGACTTGGGCCCATGCTGGCCTAAAACTATCAGATATATCTAGACGTAGAAATATGGGGAACTGACACCTTCTAAACCTGCTTCGGTTGTCTCCAAGTATGGATAGTTTGCCTAAGTCACCACATAGCATTGGGAGAATTCTCTTTTTTCTCATCTAGAAGTGTTTACAACAGATTTTTTGATCAGCTTATATGTTCCTATTATAATTTCTACAATATGGGGGACCATGCCATTTGTACAAGTGGAATAATGGTTCTCTCTTAATCCATACTTTGC